TCGCTCCGGCAGCTCCACCTAGCGAGGAGCGCTCTCCCCGGCCTGCTCCGGCTCCCCGCCGGCTCTCCGGCGCTGGAAACCCCAGCGCTGCGTCCGCAGGGCAAGGCAGGGCCTCCCTGTCTTCCCCATCCTCCCCAGTCCTGGTCCCACCAACCCAGGCCGGGGGTCCGGCGGAGGCAAGCTCTCCTCCAGCCCCGCAGCAGCACCCGGCTCGCCTGGCTGAGCCTCCCGAGGAGCAAGGCTGGAAGAGAGACACCCTGCTCAGGGAAGGGCACGAGGAACGAGGTGGAAGCTTGATGCTTTCATCCTCTCTCTTACAGCCTGCTGAAAAAACACCTCAGCTAGTCTACAGGGGTTTTATCTCAATAACGAACTTTCTCTGAGCTGCCACCCCTAAGCTCTTTGCTTGTGAATCACCATAATGCACTCAGGTCACACCAAGCTTCCCTTGCTCCAAGCCCCTTGCCTCACTTCTTCTCTGAACCCAGGTGGGCTCAGCAAGGCCCCGCTGCCTTGGCCATGCTGGTCCTGGCCTGGCACAAACCAGTGGCAAGAGGACAAGTGGCTGGTTGCTCTCAGTGCACGGGCAAATAGCGAGGGGAGTCACCAGGCGCTGCCTGGGCCAGTCCCCCTGCCCCAGCAGAGCAGCAGGGCAGACCCTGTGCTCTCCTTCCCACCACCGAAAAACCTTACCATGTCACGTCCTGCACAGAGGCCGGCTGCTTGCTTTGTAACTTGATTAGAATATAATAAGGGAAGATACAAACCTATTTGCATAATCATGAAGGTCACGATGCTTCTGCCTGCCCTATGCCAGCAGAGGCTGCTGTGCCGTAAGGGAAGGGGCAAGAGTGTCTCATCCTGGATGGGGCCAGGGCTGTAGGCTGCACCGTTGCTTTAGGTGTGCACCGTTCCTTTAGGTGTGCACCATTGCTTTTGGTGTGCACCATTGCTTTCCTTGGGCTTTGCTGAAGCAGAGCAGCCTGGCAGCAGGTTGAGCAGCGGGAAGGAGTTACTTCCCTCCCTCCCGTCAACATGTGGCACCATCCAGCCCTGCAAATTCCAGGTCACCTTACTGGCCCCGGCAACGGTGTGGGATTTTGGCCCGCAGCCGCTCAGGGCTGCCAGGCTGGCCCTGCGGCCGCAGGGAAGCGCAGGACGGCTGGACCTGCTCTCCAGAGGTGCGATGGGGAAGGTGGGGAGAATGCTGTGGAGCCTGGGAGCTGCTGAGGGAAGCAGGAAGACTGATGGTCAGATTTTTCTGTAATAAGCCGGATCCTTAGGAGAGGAGGCTTGTTCAGGTTTGTTTGTTTGTTTCCCTGTGCCTTTCTCTCTCTAGAGAAGGAGATGCAGACCAAGAAAAAGCCTGAAGCCAGAAGGGGCAATTTCCTACTGTGACAGTTTGAATCCAACTTCCCACCTCAGTCTGCAGTGGCATTGCCAAGGACTCCTGGGATAAAGCATGCCACTATTTCTTGCCCCACAGAGGAAATTGTCATTTTTCTACAGATTTCTCAGTCATCTCTACTGGCTCTGACTCCTGTTCACATTCACACTTTCCTTCTCATCTGTCATAACCAGTGGTGTCAATAGGAGTCACGTTCTGCAGCTTGCATGAACTTCTAGTGGTACTGAGGACAGGGCAGCAGGGAACGCTTGACTGCAGTAAGATACCCAGGGGTTTTGTCTCTTCTACCTCCAAGCGTGTTCTTGATGCTTTGCTCTTTTGAAATAATTTCTTCCAGTACTAGCTTTGGTTAGCTGTCATGGTGGCATGAAGGATGCTGTTCAGAAAGCACCTCCTGAGCGTGTTGGTACACCAGCTGGCTGAAAGTGAGTCTTCTTGAATTGGCAAACAGGGAATTTATTTAGTTTGCAGTTGCATGAAAAAAAACCTGGATCGAAGAGTGAGTGAACCTGAAGATACGGTTCTGGACTTCTTTCTCTTGTTTTGGCCTTGCACTGCAGGCTTCAGGTAAGCAGGCAGCCGTCTGGCACAACAGTAGAAGCAGAAGAAAGCCACTTGCTGTGGTTGCTCTCCGTTTCCATTTCGGCTCTTGCTCTTCCGGCAGTACCTGACTGAGGACCGGCCACATTGGTCAGAG